TAAACATAATTTCTTCTTGATTGATCTATCGTATGATTTAAAGATTACGCTCGCCTCGGAATTTAATTCGTTATTAAAGGATAGATTATAAAAAGAAAAAGCAACCCTACAGTAGCGTCGAGTATTATCAATAATATCATAGATTGCAATTGAGAATTTAAGTTCTATACTCGTCTTTGTGATTATCTTGACGCAGCCGATACATGTGCTTGTGTTTTCCCTTGTGTTATGATGCTGGATGATAATTCTAGCTGCGCATCATTGAAAAAGAATAATTATTTTATCGTAATGTATTTATTCGATAGATTAATAAGGAATAAAACCTACTATTTTTATTATCTTCTTTGGCAGTAATGATACTCTCACCATTTTGGCTTATTTCGGGTTTTAATATTCCGAAAGAAGTATTTTTATTTAGAATACTTATGTCTTTTTCTGAAGAATTATTAATTTTCTTACGTTCTTCTTTCTTGTTACGTGAAAGAAAGTTAAAAATTGAAAAACATCTGCTATCGACACCTGAAAATTTGAAACAAGTGTTTTTTCTTAATCGATTATTTTTAAATTTATTATCATGAGCATTATAATAACGATAAATATTAACCATTTGTTGAATGACTCGTTGTTGAAGATGAATCGTCAGTTTTTATTGAAGATGCATGGTCAGTTACAACTTCTTTTAAATCTATATCATCTTTCTCATATTTTGAATTATCTTTATATGACATATTTTATATAAGAAAGTTGATTTTAAAAAGGCTTTTTTTCTGCTTGTATTTAGAAATCCAAGCGTATACATTAATTCACAGATTATCGGTCTCTTTTATACTCGAAATTACCGTTCACTTATCTGATGTACAACGTTCTAAAAAAAAGACCACAGACAGTTTTTAGTCGATATTTTTATTGTGTACCTATAGAAATTTAAGATTCATCCAATAAGCGAGCGATCAGACTTCATTGTGTATTTACTTTTATTCTTTCAATAACAATACATTGATACATGTACAACATATGACGCATAGAGTTTGAATAAAATTTGCCAACGACTAAATGTTGATATCGACATTGTGTCTATAGCATAAAAAAATCTTAGCAATAAATTACGACGCGACAATACTCGTAATATATTATTATTAGTGTCTATGTATTGAAAGATAATTCTATTGAATTATTATGGATCATGCAATCAAAATTACTATACGAATATGAATTGATATTACAAAGTAAAAAATCAGTATTAACATCCTTTTGTAACATGTTCCTATCAATATTACTTACCATTATTACACAATTCGGCTTTCTTCCGGTACATCAAATTCTATTCAACGATTTTGTTATAATTATCGATTAATACATTGCAATTATTATTGAATATACAACAGTTCCCAAATTCACTATCCATTTTTATGTTTGTCAACATTAACTATTGTTCTCCAAAAATGCTAAATAATTAGTAATATATGCAATGTAACTGAATAAAACAATTAAAATGTTGCCTATTTTTTAATTACATGTCCATATACCATACTTTCGCGCGAAATAACGTTCATGGGCGTTCTTTTGAAAATTTTACCCTTAAAAATAACGTGTATGTGCATAGATACGTAAATACAACAAATTACGTGTACATGTATATGTGTATGCATAAGGTTTTGTACTTCGATATCTATATAAGGAGATAAGTAAATTGTGCACATAATACATACATGTGCATGCAGTTGATTATGCCCGTATGTGCAACCCACGCAGTTACTCAAAATAACGCGCAGGTGGCGTTATTTCGCGAAAATACGTTATGAGCGTTTATTGTACATGCATACTCACTGAAAAAAGTTTGGAATCGGGGGATGTCCAATTTTAACGTTCAATAGCTCTTTAGAAAGCTAAAATCTTAAGCTTTAAAACAATATAAAAAATATGTCAAATCAACCAATACTCGCAGAAATTGCCAACTTACGGATTTTGAGCGCGGCGAGATAGTCGGCGCTTGGAAGTGTGGTTTTTCCGAACAAAAAATAGGAAAAACTCTAGGACGACCCAAATCTACAGTTCATAACGTCATACAAAAATATAAAGAG